GCCCAAAGAGTCAAAGATGATAAAGGCACTGCATGTTTGTTTAATATGTGAACAGATAAACAAATTTAAAATTCATTTAAAAGTTACAATTATCCATTTTTATTTTCAAAGTGTCTTCAAGGTGTTAACTAGCCTAATCAGAGTCCCATTCTTTTGTGAAATGTTCACCACAGTGTTTCCTGTGACTGACTTTCTGTCTGTGTGTGTGTGAGTGTGTGTGTGTGTGTGTGTGTGTGTCTGTGTCTGTGTGTCTCTCTCTCTCTCTGTGTGTATGTGTGTATACCTGTTTTTCTATTCTGGTGGGGACTTAAACCTGAATACACACAGACTCATGGGGACTCGTGTCACCTAAATTGAGGTCCCCACGGGTAAACATGCTAATAAATCAAGTTTTTTGAAAATCTAAAAATGCACAAAGTTTTCTGTAAGGGGTAGGGTTAGGGTTAGGGGATAGAAAATATCGTTTGGTCAGTATAAAAGTAATAGAAGTCTATGGAAAGTCCCCACAATTCACAGAAACAAACGTGTGTGTGTTTTGACATCACAGGAGAAAGGGGCTGATCTCGGCTCCATACACATGATCGGTGTCAGTTTAGGGGCCCACATCTCAGGTTTCACTGGGGCCAATTTTAATGGAAGCATTGGCAGAATAACAGGTGAGACTGATCCGTTCTCCTGAAGCTCTGAGTGGAGTGTTTCAGTGTGTGATTGATTGTGATGTTTGCGTGTCTCACTCAGCGCTGGATCCGGCAGGGCCCGAGTTTAACGGTCAGCCCCCCAGCGAGCGTCTCGACCCGTCTGATGCCCAGTTCGTGGAGGCGCTGCACACAGACATGGACGGTGTGTTTCTCTCACACATCACGAGACGGGGCTCTTGACTATGTGACACTCTATATAGAACATGAATATCTAGACGTGGTTAACTCATGGCTGGTGTTTTCTTGCAGCGCTGGGCTATCGTGATGTTCTGGGTCACATCGACTATTACGCAAACGGTGGAGCGGATCAGCCTGGATGCCCCAGAACCATCTTTTCAGGTCAGCTGTAACCATTTTAATAGCATTTTAATGTAACCTCAATTAAAAATAGTATTACACAAAACACACACACACTGCTGCTGTTCAGTTTGGGATCAGACGTTTCTTCTGCTCATCAAGGCTGCATTTATTTGATCAAAAATACAGGAAAAAACTTGATATTGTGAAATATTATTTACAATTTAAAGTAGCCGTTTTCTATGTGAGTATCTGTTAAACTGTAATGTATTTCTGTGATGCGCAGCTGTATTTTCAGCATCATTACTGCAGTCTTCAGTGTCACATGATCTTCAGAAATCATTCTAATATGCTGATTTGCTGCTCAAGACACATTTCTCTATCAATTTATTTAAAATAGAAATCTTTTGTAGCAATGTAAGTCTTTACTAGTCTTTGCTGAAGTATAAGTATTAATTAAAAAAAAAAGAAAGAAAAGGGAAAAAAATGTACTAACCCCAAACTTTTAAACTGTATTGTATTATTGTTAAATATAAATTATAATTTAAAGTATATTAAAATAGAAAACAGTTATTTTAAATTGTAATAATATTTTACAATAATTTTATGTATTTATTTATTTTTTTTAACATTAAAAATCTTACTGGTCCTAAACTTTTGAATGGCAGTGTGTATTTGTGTACTCTTTAAACTTAAAAATGCTTGTCAAATTAAATAAAAAATAAAGATTGATTTTAAATCTTTCAGTATTTACATTTTTACTTGCTTTCTAACCATACCTCTCAGAATTTTCAAATGCAAGGCATATAAAAGTGTAAGCAATTATATCATAATTACTTGCAAGATGCTACTCGCGCTCTTAAAGAAACATAAGAAAAAAGAAAGAATATCTTCATGCCCCAGACTAACATGATGCTCTGCATTCTCTCTTCATATTTCATATTGTGTAAGTTGCTCTATGCATGCTATATCATAATGTGTATATATGCAGGAGTCTGTAGTTTTGAGCTCTTCTCTGATGTTCCACAGGCTCGCAGTATTTCAAGTGTGACCATCAGAGGTCAGTGTTTCTGTACATGAGCTCCGTGAACAGCTCGTGTCCCATCACTGCGTACCCCTGTGACTCCTACACACTCTTCCAGGACGGGGAGTGCATGGACTGTGGGAGGTTCACGCCGGACGGATGCCCTGTTTTCGGTAAACTGAGCGCACTCTGAGCTTCATGTGATCAGTCGGCTGTTCTGAGACAGACCTGCTTTCATTGCACTGTGCAGGTTATGATGCTGTGCGCTGGAAGGACAGGCTGCTGCAGCTGATTCAAACCAGGACGTATTTCCAAACTAATAAAGCGTCTCCATTCTGCAGTGAGCATCGCTTTACAGCATCTTTTTTATTACATTTCAACTGTGAGCAGATTAGTTAAGTTTCAGGTTAAGATGCATATGTGACCCTGGAGCACAAAACCAGTCAGAAGGGTACATTTTTGGAAATTTCTGAATAAATAATCTTTCCATTGATGTATGGTTTGTTAGGATAGGACAATATTTGGCTGAGATACAACTATTTGAAAATCTGGAGAAAATATTGAGAAAATCATCTTTAAAGTTGTTCAAATGAAGTTCTTAGCAATGCATATTACTAATCAAAAATTAAGTTTTGATATATTTACGGTAGGACATTTACAAAATATCTTCATGGAACAATGATTTTTGGCATAAAAGAAAAATGGGTAATTTTGACCCATACAATGAATTGTTGGCTATTGCTACAAATATACCCCAGCGACTTGAGACTGCTTTTGTGCTGCAGGGTCACTTATATATAATGTAACAGCTTGTTTACGTAATCTCTGACTCCACTAGAGTTCGGTTACAAGGTTGATATTGTCACATGGAACCAGAAGACACACTGGGGATATTTAACGATTAAATTAAGCGATGGACAGGAAGAGGCGCAAGTTGAGCTCAATCAGTAAGTCTCGTTCTCGTGTAAGGAGTATTCCCAGATCGATGTTTTGGATGCTGATGTTTCTCCTCTCTCTTCCAGTAAATCCCTGATGTTTGAGAGGTTTGTGGAGAGCAGCGTTCTGGCTCAGTTTGACCGAGACGTCCAGCCTGTGAAAGAGATCTCGCTCAAGTTCTGTACGGGGAAAGGACTCCGGCCACGCAAGAAACTGCGGCTCCTGCGCATCCGCCTCACTCCTCTACAGAACCACCTCAGGTCTGTGTGCTTTCATCTGAAGCAAGAGTTCATGTCTGAGCTCTTCTTATACATGCTCTTCATGAACTGTTCACAGCAAGCCCAATAGCAGCTCTGTCAACCAGTGATCTGTGCTTCGTTTAATTCAAGCATGAGGTCTCAAGGTGTGTCATGTTTGATGACAAACATACTCAAAAGTTTGTTATTTTTAAATAAATTTATACTTTTATTCATCAAGTCTGCATTAAATTGATCATAAATGAGAGTAAAGACATTTAGAATGTTACAGTAGATTTCTATTTCAAATAAATGCTGCTCTTTTGAACTTTCTGTTCATCTGTGAATCCTGAAAAATAAAATGTATCAGTTTCCACAAAAATATTGTGCAGCACGACTGTTTTCAACATTGATAATAATCAGAAATGTTCAGCAAATCAGCATATTAGAATTATTTCTGAAGATCATGTGACACTGAAGACTGCTGAAAATCCAGCTTTGATCACAGAAATAAATTACAGTTTAACACACATTCACATAGAAAACAGCTGTTTTACATTCTAATAATATTTCACAATTTTTACTGTATTTTTGATCCTTGGTGAGCAGAAGAGCCTTCTCTCAGAAACATTAAAGTATCTTACTGACCCCACACTTTTAAATAGTACTGTAAATGGTTCTTGCTCGCTGAAACATTCATCAATGTACACGGGATTGAGAAATGTCGCAGGCTAGATTCAAACTCACTGCCGATGTGAATTAAATCCGAGGTTATTCAGACATAAAGATTTCATTGATGCTTGTCAGTACACATCTTAAACAGAATAGAGACAAAGTCCAGCGTACACCTGACAGCCACAACATCTCTTCTGTTTTGTCACTCAAACTCAGATTCACTAAACCGTTGTCTTGTGTTTCAGCAGGCCTCTGTGTCGCTATGATCTTCTGCTGGAGGAAAATAAAGAGGTGACGTTCAGACCGATTCCCTGTGAAGACTCGAACTTCTGATCCAGACACCGCTGTCCTTTTCTCTCGGGTCAGCGTCAGTGCTGTCTTTCAGAGTCCCTTCAGAAATCTGATTTACAGCTTGTTGTTTGGTTTTCTTAAAGAAAGTGTTGCTGTACCTTCGTGGTTTTTATGTAATGTAAATAAATATTTTTGTAAATATTTATTTGTCTTGTTTTTGCCTCGGTGATATTTATGGTATTGCTTTAGTTTTCTTTGTTTTAAAGTATAGTTTTTTTCTTAGAGGACACTTTTTTTCTTTACATCTTATGCCTCACTTCTTGCCTTTGCTCACTGCATATAAAAATGAAATTGTGATGTAATCATACATGTATAAATATAATAGCAATGTTAATAAATTTCATCACACGCTACTATTGAAAAGTTGGTTGTCCAGTAACTTTTCTTGTTTTTCAATTGATACATTTGCATTGTAACAAAAAAATCTATTTTTTAAAAATGCAAGTTCTTCTGAACGTCATCAGAATCCTGAATAAATGTATCACAGTTTCCACAAAAACATTAACCGTTTTCAATACTGATAATAATAAGAAGAGCAGCAAATCAGCATATTAGAATGATTTCTGAAGATCATGTGACACTGAAGACTGCTGAAAATTCAGCTTTGATCACAGGAATAAATTACAGTTTAACACATATTCTTTTTTTGTTGAAGTCTAACTGACCTTGAGCTTTAGAATCCTTCTTCACTCAACATGGAAAACGGCTGTTATATATAAAGATGAAATTAAAAGTAAGGTCTGATGTTAATAAGTCTAAGTAATCAATGCATGTGATTGAAACTATAGGTTGCTCTCTCTTTCCAGTCATCGTGCATGGTTTCAAACCCAAAACGTGTTTTATACAGCAATATGTTCACGGAGTTCTTCCTCAGTCTTTGTAAGTTCTTCATTGCACACTTGAGTTTGGCCGAGACTCCATGTCTGTATCTGTGATGTCTGACGGCTTCATCAGAGCTGGCTCACTTGGACATGTGCTTCTTAAGACATTCCACTTCAATCTGAAGAGAAAGAGAGCACTAGTGAGTGTTCATGGTACAAAACTAAACAACACATTACAAGCAAGACACAAGTTGCTATGTTTTCCAATTGATTTAATTTATTTATGCCTTTACTGTTATCCAAACCTTAAATAACTTTTGGGTTTTTGGTTATTAAAAAATAAATAAGCAAGTCCAGCCCAGGTAATACAAAAAGTAGTCTAACGTATCGCATTACTTTCCATAAAAAGTAACTAAGTAACACAATTCGTTACTTTTATATGGAGTAACGCAACATTGTAATGCATTACTTTTAAAAGTAGCTTTCCCCAACACTGCTCACGAATGAAACTGTTTAACATCTAGAGGCTCTTGACTCACTTGCAGTGACAAACGCATCTTCTTTTCTTCATCCAGTTCGTTCAGGAGCAGTTTGATTTCTTTCCTGAAACACAGTGACGTTGCATTTACAGAAAAATAAGGATAAGAAGTCCAAAACAGCGTGCATTGATGTTACACAAACTTGTGCTGAGACTTCAGCGTGTCCAGGTCATCTCGTAGCTCTCGGAGCTCCGCTCTCATCTGCTCTATAGCGCCGGGGCCCCGCGGGGCCGCTCGCGGTTTAGCAGCTAACGCCGAGAGATACGCCGGGAGCGGAGTCATGCTTGTGCCAGAAGAAGAGCTGCTGACGGGCTCCTGACAAAAAACATCAAAGGGACCATCCTAATCGTTTCAGTTCAGCTGTAAGCAGTTTGTTCTCTAGGGGCCTCATACTGCCAGGGGCCACAAAAGCCTAACAGGAGGTGTTGAGTAAGTTACTCTTAAAAAGTAAGTAATTCGTAGCTACTAACTACACCTTCAACAGAATAATTAGATTGCTGTACTAATTACTCTCTTTAGAAAGTGTTGCATTACTTATTACTAATTACTTGCTAAATCCCATATTAACCTCGACCAGTTGAGCAGAACAAGGATAGACATGAAACTGCTCTTCTAATTCTTCCAGATCAATAATATAAAAGTGCATAAATTATTCTAGAACTGACAAAAGTATTTACATGAAGGTTTAATATAGAATTGTTCTAAAGTCTATACAGTATTTAATGCAATCACAGCAGAAGTAACTAATTAAATCCCTTACTTTTTCAAGCTAAAATTGAATTATATATATATATAGTATATGAATTACACATAATACATAATATATATTTAATTAGTGCTGTCAAATGATTAATCGCGATTAATCGCATCCAAAATAAAAGTTTTTGTTTACATAATATGTGTGTGTCCTGTGTATATTTATTATGTATATATAAATACACACACATTCATGTATATATTTAAGAAAAATATGTTATATTTATACGTTCAGTATATTTATATAAAATATAATAATATACATGTAAATATTTTCAAAATATATACTGAATGTGTATTTATATATACATAATAAACAAACACAGTACACATATATTATATAAACAAAAAAAATTATTTTGCATGCGATATATAATTACTTAATAATTCATTTATTTCAGTAATTGCTTAGTAATGCATTACACCCAACACCAGAAGGTGAGCATCGGGCCCAAAAAATCCAGTTTTGAATGCTGAAGATTAATAAAAACTACTATTTTAGTCAACATTTTTAGACTTACATTTTAGATACTCTAAACTATTTCCTTTTGTTAATAATTAACATTAAAATAAAATTTAAAATATCTGGGCTGCACAATTAATCAATAAGGGATATTTTTCAAATTGCAGTCATGATGCATGACAAAATAATCACAATATAATTTTTGCTGTGCAGCCTATCAGTCAATATAATTACTTAATAATTCATTTATTTCAGTAATTGCTTAGTAATGCATTACACCCAACACCAGAAGGTGAGCATCGGGCCCAAAAAATCCAGTTTTGAATGCTGAAGATTAATAAAAACTACTATTTTAGTCAACATTTTTAGACTTACATTTTAGATACTCTAAACTATTTCCTTTTGTTAATAATTAACATTAAAATAACATTTAAAAAAATCTGGGCTGCACAATGAATCAATAAGGGATATTTTTCAAATTGCAGTCATGATGCATGACAAAATAATCACAATATAATTTTTGCTGTGCAGCCTATCAGTCAAAATAAAACACTAAAATGTATGTATTGTATGTGTTTACTTGCATGTGACCATTAACAAAAAATCAGGGAATAACATTAAATGACTGAAACATGAACTTCTAAGACCTTTGACTGACAGAAACCCCTGCAGTCTGGAAAAATAGTCTTTTTGTCTTCGTAACAGACTTACTGTGGTGTCTTTGGGTGCATCTGTGTTGCTATAAAGAAACTTGAGGGCCAGCAGGTCTGGTTCCTGATGCACTTCGTTCATTTTCTGGCCTGTTTGTTCATCAGCAGTCTGCAAAGAGAAGTAATAAGCACAAAACACTCAATATCTTCAGAACATCTTTATCTTTATTCTCTAGACGTCAGTTTTAGGTTCTAAAATGTGTCTTATCCTAAACAATGTTACACCAGTAATACTGTAGTTTAGTGAGTTAGGAAACTATCACACTGTTTTGTACAGTATCAGTCATAGCAATGTGTGAGTTGTTAGAATGTGACTTACACACCGATTAAGACTGAGAAGTTAAATATAAGTCGAGGACAAACACAAACCGTGACAAAGGTTCTGTCTATACGAGGAGGTTTGGATGACACTGGTTAGTGCATGATAACTCAAGTGTCACGGCTTGTTCATGCAGTCATTAAATACGTGATGATTGGCTTTCAGACGTGATTCAGAGAGAGCATGTTCTCCAGTCTGCTGTGTTCGCTCAGAGTCGACACGACGGACTTCAAATCTTCAACATCTGTGACAATGAGACGTGGAAAATAATGCACACGCAGTTCTGGGGGGAAATAAAGTGCCACGGGCCAAACTATAATTCATGAACGACTGTCCTCAAAAATTATATTAAATATTTGAGTCTATAAATATTAATAGAAAGAGCAACATTACACTCTAAAAAATGCTGGGTTAAATATAACCCAGCGCTGGGGAGAAATAAAATAAATGCAAAAAATTTACTGAGCACAATAGAGCATAAAACAAATGTAAATATATGCATGAGTGCTCTCATTTGTATTTGGTCAATGAATGAAGGATCGAGCAGACGGATGTTTTAATAAACAACGCTGTAAATGCATGGCAAGAAGAAATAAGGAGCTCATGGATCTGACACACGAACAAACTCCAGAAGCACAAAAGATAATCATTTAGGTGCACAATATAAAACAATATTTGATTTGATTTAAGAATCATTTGGTGTTTCAGTAAATATCAGCCGTGGTTTTAAAGTTTGTTTTGTACATTCACTGCTGTGGTCACTAGAGGAATCTATATTTAGCTACTTCTCACACCAACTGTGTTGTAACTGTACACCATCATGACAGAGACTATTGTCCAGACTAAGTTTAGCCAGAACCTCTCACTCACCAGCCTGATCCAGCCCGAGAAATACAATCTAGTAAAGAGAAATTAAATCAGACATTGCATTATATTAGAGTTACTGATGCATCTAAAGCATATTATTGTATAAGTCCAGCGATAAAACACTGTGGGCTTCGAGGTCTGGTTCAGAAAACTCACGTCTCTGTTTTGCAACGGTAACTTTCCAGACTACATCCGCAGCAAGACGCTCATGTCTTCATTTCATCTTGTGTCTGTCAGCAGGATGGTTCTCCAGCTCTTCTGCGGCGTTTCTCTGCTTCTCAGGAGCCTCTTTGACTCCTAATACTCTCTCCTTTTATGGAGCCCTCAAGACACCAATCAGAAGCCATGCACACGTCCCGCACATTTGTCCCACAGATTCTTTCTCTGTGTCGTAGAGTAACAATAAAGTGATCAAACCTATGCAATAAAACCTCAGCTGTTTAGATCAAAAAGTATGTTTGATATCAACACTCAACGCAGCATGCAAATCAGGTCAGATGATGATGATGCATGGGGGAATTCTGGGTTTGCATCGTTTCTGTGTGTATTTCGGATCAATCAGCCTAAATAATTAAAGCACTGCTGATCAGACTGGACAAATGCAAACAAATGGTCAGTCTAAACGTGTCTGGACTCTGACTTTCACACTATCATTCATATTTTTATCAATGTAACACGTTTCAGGCTCTGAAGTTCATAAACATGAAAGGAAGCTCACATGCAGGTTAATTACACACTCAAACCAAACACTCTTTTGTGATTTATTATGCCTTAAACATTTGTGCTTGATAACAACATAATTTATTGTCCAGCATCAAAACTGGTGTAACATGAGACTCAGATAATGCTAGACATCAAGCTTTGCAAATACATGCAAACACACAGCAACAAACAATTAGGCCATTAACAATTGTTTAGGCTATGTGTCATCACTTTCACACACAACACTGAAACTACCTTCATTTCACTTTCTGTTTAGATCATCATACATTGAAACATGTAAGCTACTACTACCCTTATGAAAATTAACCATGGATTTATGATAGCAAACGAGTTGTAACCATGTTTTTTTTACTTTTAAACTATGGTTAACAGTGTTGGGGAAAGTTACATTTAAAGATAATGCATTACAATATTGCATTGCTCCCTAAAAATAACTAACTGCATTACGTAGATACTTTTTATGGAAATGTCCCTGCTGAAAAAACAATAGACACCATCACAGAATGTGTAATGGTTTTACTGGTTATAATGAGAATCGTACTGGTTTTAATGGAAACTGTGATGGACGCTGGGGGTAATTGGTCACCTTCTATTAGGGGCTTGTTAAAACCAATAAATCCTAAAGGAATATGTCTCAAAACACACAAAACAAAATAGGCAGGTTAACCTTACAGTAAAACTCAACACTGATTACTGTCAGACTTACACAATCCTTTGTCACTTTTTAATTTTAAAGCACAAACACCACAAAATCAGACGTTGGCACCTCCTTTTACTGTGAGATTATTCTGAGGTTAAACAGATTTAAAATCATATTGTTTAATAGCTATGATGCTGTTTTAAAATCAAATCTTTGCATAACTATGATAGGAAACAATGGCATCAATAGCTATATTGAAGGAACATCACTTTGTGACATTAATTCAATGCAGTTAACATTGTTTCAGCAGTTCATTGCTTTCTGGGGAGAGAACTAAAATCCAAATTAGTGTCGTGGAGCAAGCAATGGTCTTCTCAAAATTGTCAAGAAGACTTCAGATGTGGACATTAAATGTACCAAACAAAAACACGCCACTGGCCACACCTCCAAAGGGAGTGGAAGCGCCGCACGTTGACCAATCAAAAGCAAAGTATTTCCTCCGGCGTGTCTGATTGGCCAGTTGGAGTTGCTCAGGTGCGCTGTGATTGGTGGAGCGCCCTGACCGCGGCGTTCGAATATGTCTCAATAACCGTTAGTGAGCTAGTATGCATGAGTTTAAGTTTAGGTTAGTTACTGTATTAACTGTGTCCAGGTTAGATGTTATGATTCTAGCTTAGCTGTAGGAGTCACTTATATAACTGTAAAACTACGTTTGGATCATAAATCAAGGTAACGTCACGAATATTTATATATGCGATGCTAGCTGCTAACAGCTAACACAGCTTCAGGTAAATACAATAAACTCTGCTATTCTGTCGAAATGCTGTTCATTTGTTCTCGTATTTTGTTGTTAGCTGTATCATAATGTATCACTGTTTAACAACCAGCGTCTTTGAAGTGAAACGCAGCTATCTGGCTAACCGAGTGACTCGTGTTTAGTAGTTCGCGGTAACGTTAGTTCAGTCAGAAACGTCCTGACAGTAAATATTGTGCGTGTTTTCGTGTCTAGGCGTGTGGTCATGGCTCTGGCGTCTCCGTGCGGGATTCTGTCCGATGAGGAGGAGTGTGGGGCTGTGTTTGAGTCCACAGCTGCTGATATTGGAGCTCTGATGATGAGATCCCAGCGCTTTGTGTCTCCTCTGCCGGAGATCTCTGTCATCAGCCCTGCTGCAGAGCCCCAAACTCCCACTCAAGAGGTATGATCAGTGTTGCCAGCTTACTTTCATGGGAAGTTGCTAAAAGAAGGTCAATTTGTTGGTAAATGACGTTGTGATGTCATTGCACGCTGACGTCACTACGCAAGATTGCGTCACTGCATCAAATCTCCAGCGAAAATATATTTTATATATGTTCCTTTATATTTGTTCGTAAAAGGATATGAATAATAATTTTGTCTTACTTGTTCCAGTAACTACTTTTGTTCTTGCCAACAAGTTGACATTTTTTGTTATTAACAATATTTTGAATGTTACTAATGTAAGATTAACTATTAAACTACACCGTATCCATGCTGACTGGTAAAGTTGCAGGACACTTTGTGGATCACTAGTTTGTAGTGATGACTGGAATCAACATTAGTAACAAATAAGTACTAATATTTAAAAAAATAAGTACTTGTCAGTTTTTATAAACCGGAGAGTTCCGGTGCTTGATTCTGATTGGCTGAGCCGCGTTCGAAACTGTTGTAACTGAAGCCGTGGTTTACAGTGAATTTATAACAGCTAAGGGGCGTTGTTAGGCATGACGCAACTTTAATAACCAGTAGCAATGGAGTAGGTATTTTCACTATTGGAATACGTGCTAGAATCTAATGAAAGTGCTAGTGACTAGTACTAATTCAGTGCTCACTATAGAAATAGGTGCTACTGGTATTTAATGAGTAGACTCTAGTAAATTTGAAAATGGACTACATACTAGTAATATAGAAAATAGTTCAAAATCAGTTTTATTTATGTATTCTGTTTTAACGGCTCCATTATGTTTTAATAATCAATATGATGAATACTGGGGACCTACAACATGTTTTATATTTGCTGTCTGTCTTATAATTTAATACAAGTTTATTATCGAAAATGGTAGTTATTGAATGTATAAAAAAGTGCGACAGAGGTTTACTGTTAAAATGGAAACATGGATGAAATGGATGTTATTACTGCTATTTTAGGAAGCAAATTATACTGTACAGTAGTAATAGCCTGTATTGTATGTAGTATAATATATATATACTGTCAATTTCTTCAAGTTAAACATTTTGGTGTGTGCATGATTTGATGATGGTTATCTAATGAAATGGTGAAAAATAGACTTTTTTAAAAATTAGAATAGCAGTCTGGTTTAATATTCATAGACACCAGTTCAGTATGCAGTTTGATATTGTACTGCATTACTTTTGATTTATTCATACGGTTATAAAGCTCTATGCTATATTGTTCAATTTTGCTGAACTCGCCCCAGGCTGATGATTACCGTTAGTTCAGTGGGCTCTTATGCCTCAGATTATCACACTGCCAAGCTGTAAATAATGTGTTTTCACTCTGCTCAACACAAACTGCTTGCTTAATGGCTAGTACCGCAGGCTCTGTGATGTGAATGCATCTCTCATCTGTTTGACTGGCAGCCTGTGCAGATCAAGCCTGATGTCAGCGCTGACGACGGGTCCGAGAAGCTGAAGGTTTTCCTGCGGATCCGTCCTCTGACTGAAGCAGAGCAGGTGAAGGAGTCGGACACACACGTGAAACACTGTTTTAAGTGAGGAAGGGCTTGTTTGGCTGACAGTGAAGGCTTTGTTGTGCTCCTCAGGGTTGTGTGAATGTGCAGTCCAAGGACAGTCTGCTTCTCCGAGCGCCCAAAGACTCCCGCAACATGAAGAGTGCCGAGAGAGGCGTCGCTCAGAGCCTGCACAAGTTCACCTTCACAAAGGTAATGCATCCACTAGGGCTGTGCGATATTGACAGAAAATAATATCTCGATATTTTATTGATACCGATAATTAGACGATATTTGGCTGAATGTGTTATTGTACTGGCATCTTAAACTGACTCCTAAAGTTTTTGATATTCTTCATATTCTGTGTGGTGATCAGTTCACACGGATAGAAATTCATCTTTTTCAAAAAGTTAAAATTTGTACCTTTTATGGGCATTTTATTTTATTTTTTCTAAAAGTGTGCATTATCTTTTGAGTCACATTCTTACATTTAATCAGTGAATTAGAATAATAAGAAATTTGGGCTGTTACCAAGCAAATGAAATCAGTATCAGCAAAATTCATCTTTGCAGTGCAGAGGAAACACAGGAGCTGCGTCTGAAGTGGCATTTAGATGCATTTACACACCGTTTAGTGCAAGACATGAATGCATTTAACCTGCAGTTACAAATGCATAAATAATAGTTTGATATACTAAACATAAAACGTTGAATACTGTTATTTGAAATTATTTAAATAATAAAAAGATACTTTGAATGTGAAATTAAAACCACCAGTAGGTGGCAGCAAGTCACTGATAATAAGTGAGTCACTGCGATTGAACCGAATCATTTAAACAGTTGATTAATTCAGGAGCGAAATGCCGTCATGTTGCTCAGAGACGCAAAACAGTGCTGTGGCTGTGTTTGGAATTATTTGTATTGGCGAAATAGCACAAAAACAGTAGGGGTGTTTGGAATGGTTTTTGCAAAATACTTGATGTCAAATCACACATCGTTAAAACAACAATTATGATATTATCACAGACCATATATATCGCACACCCCTAGCATCCACCATGAAGGAAATCATCAATAGTAAAAAGGCTCACAAAGTTATTTTTACTGACAAGCTTCACTCTGGATGTGACTTTTCTCACTCGTGCAGATTTTTGGAGCGCAGAGCTCTCAGCAGGAGGTTTACGATCACACCATACGGGAGATGGTGCGAGATGTTATGCGTGGAGAAAACCGGCTCCTCTACACTTACGGCGTGACCAACTCGGGCAAAACCTACACCATACAGGGTAAGACGGCCATGCCAGCTCTGGACTGATGCACATGTTTCTGTACAGCTGGATGGGTTGTTATTTTCTGTGATTGAGCAGGTGCGGGTGGAGACGCGGGTCTGCTGCCGCGAGCGTTAGTCTCTGTGTTCCTGAAGCTGTCTGGACGACTGTACTCTGCCATGGACCTCAAGCCTGTACTGAGCCAGGAGGTCCGTAAACTGGACGCGGAAGAGGTCCGTGCTGAGGAGATGCGACGGGACGCTTTGCTCAAAGAGGTAAAGCGAGAGCAGTGTTGGGAAGGTTACTTTGGAAATGTAACAGGTTACCAATTACAAGTTACCCTACTTAAAATGTAATAAGTAGTGTAACTATTTCAGTTACTTCATTAAAGTAATGTAACTGATTATTTTTCTAAATGTCTAATGTTTTCAAACACGTTAACCGTACAGTTAGTGCTCAACACTGATTACCTTCATCACTTGAATTAAGATTATAATAATTTAATTTTAAAGCACAGCCACCACAAAATCAGACTTTAACACTTCTTTTTACTTTGAGATCATTTTGAGGCTAAATACAGATTTAAAATCATAACACGAAATAGTTTAGTAGCTATGATACTGTTTTTGAAATCAAATCTTTGCATAGCTAGGAAACATTGGCATCTAACAATGCCTTGGGGGAAAAAACCCGTTAATCGTATAAAGTAAAGCATATACATAAACCCAACTGTGTGTGTGTGTGTGAAAATTCAAATGTAACCCCCTTTGTAATCATTAACATTTTCATAAGTAACTGTAATTTTATTACACATTTTTTTCTCTGTAACTGTAACAGATTAGTTACATTTATTTTAATGTAAAAATACACAATTAGAAGTAAATAAGTTAATACTTCCGCTAGACTTTTTTTTTTTCTCATCTACATTAGCATTTCAGAATAATTTAGATCAATAATTGGAAAGACAACAAAAACTTTAAAGTTACTAGTTAGTTGTTGTTTTTTTATGATACAACTTTAGTAATTGTAACCAAAACATGTCATAAATGTATGAATGCATATTTGTCATACTAAAAATTTATGAACAGGTGGTGATTCTTGAGACATTATTGACCATTTTTCTGTAAAAACACTTAGAATAATACTAATTATTGTCCTCAGTCATTTTTGTCTCTCCAGGAGTTTCAGGTTGTTCTTGGCCATCTCTGATTGTCTTTGTTTTGTCCAGGAGGAAAGCACGGCTGGACATCAGTCTCGGCTGCGAGCAGGTTTGTCCTGGGACAGCGGCGTCAGCGGACTCTCAGCGACCAGCCACATCGCAACACAGCTGGAGGGTGAGGAGCTCTCTGACATCCAGCCTGAGAATTATTCACTCTCAGCCCAGACTGAATATTGATATGTTAGGACACTTAAACAAAGAGACTGCCTTTCTGTTTGTAAAAAGTGACAAATTCCTGCTGTATTTGTTAGATGTGTTTAAGATTTCGAATGCAGAATTTTGTCCCTAATCCTAACATAAAACTGTAGAGATTCTTCTGAGCGGGTGTGTGTTTGTTCCATCCAGACTCAGCTGGCGTGTGTTTGGAGGCGAATGGTTTGTGTCTCAGCGGTGGGGAGGATCTTGAGGAGGGTGTGCAGTTCTCAGTCTGGGTCTCGTTTTATGAGATCTACAACGAGTTTCTTTACGATCTCCTGGACGCTCCACCTTCACTTCAGTTTCGCAAGAGAGCCACACTACGCCTCAGCGATGACAAACATGGAAATCCTTACGTAAAGGGTAAAAATCACAAACTAGGGATGGGCGATATCTTATCGTTTGCGATAGACTGGTAAAAATTCTCCCCATGATAAGAATTTGTCTTCCCGCGGTAACAACGATAAAACATGGCGACATGGCGGAAGGCAGACGTGAAACTGGGGAGGAGTTTATCGGTAAATGAGGAGCTGTTTGGTCAGAGCTGTACACTGCGACAAAAAATCGGTCAGAGCCTTGAATAAATGTGCTACAGTAACACAGTTTTGCATGTGTATGAGCCTGTTTACAAACCTGTTATCCAACAAAGATTAACATACTTTACATACTTTTACTCCAAATTCACGTTATAACATCAGTTGAGTGTTTGAAATAACTTATTTTTCTGACCAGACCTGGTTTCATATTACAGAATGAGGCAGAAATCCTATGTCGATTAGCATTGCATTATAAATATACTTTATTCTAATAAAAATACCCAAGATGGCTTGAACACAGATAAACCATAGATTGTCACAATCGTGTTTGTCTCCATGTTTGATCAGTTTCAGCGTTTGTATGTTCTTTTTACTCGGCTACAGCGGTAGCTGGATGTCTTTGTCCATATGAGGGATTTCCTGGAACGTCATCAGTTCTGTTACTTCTGTGATGCGTATGTGCAGTTTATGCGCGAGGGCGCCCTCTGGAGTCCAGTATGAATGAAACGGACATTACATTACGTGTGTGCTCACAACACCCTATTTTTTTATGTCTCAGTGGATGCATATGAGTTATCGTCATTGATATCATTATCGCAATAAATACCAGAAAATTTCGTGATATAGTTTTAAGTCCTAAGTCGCCTATCCCTATCACAAACAGAACAGAAATTACATTTTCAGTTACTAATTTAAATGTATCAATTTCCTCTTGACTTTTGACATTTCTTTCAATTTTAATCATACTGAATGATTCATCTCGTTGCTTTAGATCTGACCTGGATTCAGGTACTGAGTGCAGAAGAGGCCTGGAGAGTGCTTAAAGTTGGACAACGCAACCAAAGTTTTGCCAGCACTCACCTAAACCACAACTCCAGCCGCAGGTACATCATGAGCGATGCTGTGAAGTGAAATTCACACGGTTTTCTTTATACATTTTACTGTTCTTATTGATCTTATTTCATCCATGTGTATGTTTCATTACTAAAACCTCAAACATCTGATCTTGCAATGGTTTATCAAAATATTGTAATTGGATCTTCATTCAGGACTCCAATCGTTTAACGCCCACATCTCAAAATCCTAATCCTTGTCCTACGCTTTCTTTCTTTTCTAATGATCCATAACAGTCAGATGTACATCATAATGCAGAAAAACAGATGACTTTAACTAACTTCAAGCTGCTGACACATTTACCATTGTTCATTGAATTTCAGTCATTTCAATGTGAATCCACACAACTGGGCAAAATATAATAATAATGTATTTTCTTGGCATTTTTAGCCATAGTATCTTTACTATCCGTGTTCTACATGTCAAGCCTCAAGCGGAGCTGGGACAGGTGACCAGAATCAGCGAGTGAGTCCATCCACGTTACCGTTGTAATTGCTGTATTGGACTGAACCCTGTAGAATTATTCTGCAGATTAAAAGACCTCCGAAGGATTTAATGTGGAGTTGTTATGTGTTCCTTCCCGGCAGGCTCTCTGTGTGTGATTTGGCGGGGTCTGAGCGCTGTAAAACCCAGCAGAACGGCGAGAGAATGAAGGAGGCGAACAACATCAACACCTCTCTGCTGACGCTGGGCCGCTGCATCACTGCCCTGAGACACAATCAAACCAATAAGTGAGTGTGGCGCTTCACGATACTAGAGCGTGAGGGTCCGCTGGGGGCCATAAACAGCCTGATCAGGGCTCCAGACTAACATTTGAGTTAAGTTCTACAGATGGTGGCCCCAGGAGCAGATTTGGTATTGCTGGGGGGAATATTTAATCATAAAATTACTATTGATTTGCATTAATAAGTGCCGTTAAGGCCCGTTCACACCAAGCATGATAACTATAAAGATAACGATAAAGATATAGTTCTAAAAATCGTTCTCAATATTAAAGAATAGCATAGTTCACACCACAACGATAACGATACAGAGGAACGATATCGTTGTGATCACTTTCAAAATGATTTTTTACCAGCTGATGAACGATAAAACACTGACAGCCAATCAGAATCCATCCTGCTGTAACGAGCTCGAGAATTTAAAGCGGCAGTTGCAAATTTAAGAAGTTTTTCCAGGCACTTTGTGACTTTTCTTTCTTCATACCCAAAAAAGTGCAAAACTTTGACAAAATTTGATTTCTTGATGATTTTATATTTTATAATAGTGATTTTATCATTCCTAAATATAAAGCCAAAAGTAAAAATTAATAACAAAGCCAATGTAGCGAATCAGCTCATGGGGAAATATGAATAATTAATCATAACTAAGCGCTCCTCTGCTGCCATCTACTGGTTAGAGTGGTAATTTGATGGGTTTTTTTAATCGTTATTACTTCACAAAAGTGTTTGTTTACCATAAAGCATATTTTTGTCATCCCATTAAAAAATGCTATTCAAAATGGATCATTTTTAGAGCTTTAAAGTGTTGGAAATAGTTGTGTGAATGCTTGAAAGGCATTGAAAAGTGCTTGAATTTCTCTTTTAAAACATTGTACAAACTCTGAAATGAATAATATAATAACATTCGACTATTTCTGCCACAATACCGTGGTTATAGTTAGCATTACTACTTCTGATTTTCTATGTCAGTGCTGTTTGATCTGTTTATAACAGAATTCTGTGCAAATTTGAATACATCGCTACGTTGTGCATTGCAGCACTGTGTAGTAACAGTGTCGCGAAATCACCTTTGGTTCTGCAGCTGAATAACATGAGCACAAATCAGCAGCCTACAGAACACTCAGGCCTACTAGAGGAACTTTTGCCTATGCTTTTAACAAAAATACCACTGCAAAAACAACTAGACTAATATAAATTTCAAATATTAAAGTGTTAAAGACAAGTTAACAGTCAGTAATAAAATAGGAACAAACAAATCAATTAGCAATAGCATAAATTAAATACAACTGAACTAAATTACAGGTACAGAAACTGTAATTAAAATTTTAAAAACACGGCGTAGATTTCTTTTCATAAATAAAATATAGATTATTAATTAAAGTTATTAAAGATATTCAGTCAAGATCAGTGAATGATTTTCTTTTGTTCTTTGATTAATGACAGGAAGCGCGTTTATTAGACTGCTGTCTCTTTAACACTGAACTTTAAATACTGTACACAAGCATTTTCTTTCTCGTGTTTACGTTCACTTCAGACAAAAACGGCTGTGTTTATGACGATATACTGACTTGATAAATATGAAAGAAGTCAGTTCTGGCCCGGAACGATCTTTTCTGCAGAACGGACACAGATTGAGACCGATGTTCTCTGTGCTCGTGCTTCAGCAAACAAGGCACAAGTTTGCTAACTTACTAAGCTTAACTAGCCGCGACGGCGACACGCGAAATTTCTAATTTAGAAACGGTTTCTATTTCCGCGACGTCACGGCTGGAACAACAACATACAAACTATATGACAGTAGATAATCTCAGGTGATTATGTGCTTTATTCAAAATTAAACGTGTCTAATATGAGTTTAAATATAATTTTGTGTGACCTTGTAGCCATGATACTGAAAGCAACAATAGATAGTTTACTTCATATCTTGAAAATAAATTAAAGCAAAGATGACCGTTAAAACTGTGGACTCGCTGCGAACGGACGAGTGTATTCCATGAAGAAGATGTTATCAGTCACTCAGTATGTACATTTAATAATGTTAAAAAGGTTTGATATTTATGAATTAGATTATAAGCGTATCCATTTCGTTGCGAGTGCAGAGCGCTTGCAGAGAGGCTCCGCCCACACATGCTTCTGATTGGCTGTGATATTTGATTGATTCTGTCGCGTCTAGTGTGGACACACAAATTGCTTGTCGCTGGAATCTTGTCGCGTCGCGTGTAGTTAGGACACGGTGTTATACCTGATTCTTGGGAGTTTGGAACCGGTTTTCGATACCCAACCCTGCTGCTGATGGATAAAAACTGTGCTTGCTGCAGGTCTCGTCCTCCGCTGGTGGTCCCGTTCAGAGACAGCAAGTTAACCAGGGTCCTGCAGAGCTTCTTCTGTGGTCAGGGCCGCTCCTGCATGCTGGTCAACATTAACCCCTGCGCCTCCACCTACGACGAGACGCTGCAAGCGCTCAAGTTCTCTGCCATCGCCACACAGGTAACAACATGACCGACCGTTTCATCTTTCCTCTTCTGGACACACAGCAACATTCTCCATTCACATACACACACATGTCTCTTGTGTCAGCTGGTGCATGGGCCGTGCAGTAAGACGCGAGTGGCTTATATTCTGTCGCTGCTCCGTGAGCATCCCGCACATCCCAACAACACCACTCTACTGGAGGAGGAGGAGGAGGAGGAGGAGGAGGAGGAAGGAGACATCACCATGTTTGATCCTGAAGTAAATACACTTTTATTTCATTCACAGAGACGAGAGGACTGCAAGTTGTAGTCCTTACTGATTCCAAATTAGATGGCAAAAATTGTAGTTGGTAAAATGCTTTAGGTAATATAATTGGATTACTTCTGACCTAACTCGTTTATCACATTGATTTAAATGGGGTAATCTTGTACCATATTGATATAAAGAGCGAGAGAGAGTTATTAACAGCATTGAACATTGTATTATGTCAAGGTTTCTCAAACTGGGGTTTATTCAGGGGGTTTGTGAGTTTAATGAAAAGCTAATAATTTGGGATGTAACGATTCACTCAACTCACGATTCGATTCACAATTTTGATTTCACGATTCGATTAA